GTTACGGAAAAATCAATTAACAAACGGAGACGTAACAGTACATATGTTAACTTGTTCTGAATATATATATTATTTTGAAAACAAGTGAAGTGGGTGCTGTTTATTCACAGTTGAATTTATCACTAGCAAGTCACAGACACTTACTGTAAAAGAATCCTAAGCCCAACAACAACATAGTATATATTTATACTATTAAGAAATGTAACTAAAAGCCTTTCTATTTGACAATTGGAAAAAAGGAAAGTTATATATAATTATATATTTTAAATTCTGACAGTTATTCAAATGCCATATATTGAAGTAAGTATATACAAGGGACCATTTCCAAAATTGGAAAGATGTGAGTGGGTCCACTGTGTTTGATTTATTACATGAGTGAAATCTCGGCAAATAGAAAAGATATGAGGTTCTTATTTTATATTCTAGCTTGTCAATATCGGTAATTTGAGTTCCTAATTCGTATGAAACTATAGATTTAGTATTTTGACATCACAAACATCTAATTTGAACCAGTGCTGCATTCAACATACCATGTGACACACAAAAATCGATGTTTAACTGTGTTTTTTTAATATTTACTTTTAAATTAAGAAATTGCATAAGGTATAATAATAAAATTTGAATTATAATCTACAGTTTGCTACCAAATTTATTGAATAAATTCATGAAATAGTAGTTCAATAAAAATTTTAAATGTGAGTCAACAAACGCCATGACATGGCCTTTCACCCGTGACCTATCTGGAAAGGGTTAATTGTTTCCATTTTAGAAGTTAATAAATGTAAAATAGAATTGTTTCTCAGAGGTTTTCTGACAAATTGGTGAAGAAAACCAATTTGAACAGTTTCTAAAAACCATTGTTGTTTGAATATAAAATTTCCCCGTCTATATACCTGAAATTAAAATCCTCATTTATGACCTCATTAACAGCTTACATCTTAATATCAATCTAAATTTCTCATTAATTGCATCTGGTGGGCTGTACAAATTTCTAATAAAAGCCTTCACCATCACATATCTGCTGAACTGTATTTGTAATAGCATTTTTACTTGTATTTACTAGCTGTGTTATGTCATTTGTTAAAACTTGTAAACAGTAATTAATTTTTGATACAGCTATTCTGTATTTGTAATAGCATTTTTACTTGTATTTACTAGCTGTGTTATGTCATTTGTTAAAACTTGTAAACAGTAATTAATTTTTGATACAGCTATTCTGTATTTGTAATAGCATTTTTACTTGTATTTACTAGCTGTGTTATGTCATTTGTTAAAACTTGTAAACAGTAATTAATTTTTGATACAGCTATTCTGTATTTGTAATAAAATTGCTTATTTTCTAGCTATATTCATTTGCAGAACTTACTTAAAACTTCTTAAAATTGTGATAGTTTTCCAAATTTCTAGATAAAGAACTCTCCTAGTACGTGGTTTATTTTTATAAAAAAAGCAAAAAAAGAGACACATTTTAATATTTCATTGCTTACTAGAAAGTTAAAACTGGTAAACTGTAGAAAATTTGAAGAAGCATACCGTTTCTTCATAGTGTCACAAAATTTCAAATTCCAGTGGCTGTGTTCTAGAAGGGGTCTTATGTGTGTTTTTGGCATTGTAAGATTTATGGATTATGATTTTTTGTGATAGCGTTTAGGTTATACCATTTCTAACCTATTTCTAGGTAATATTTTACATCTGTTTATTTTTATTTTTTCATGGCTGTTGCATAGGGACTTCTCATAATTCAAATTATCCAAATCAAATAATGTTTAATTTTTATTTAATATTTATACATTTATATGTAGATATTATGATTTTGTGGTTACAATTTATATAGTTCTGATATGGTAATTTACTTAAAACAAATTACATGTTATTTGAATTAGGCCAGGTGTAGGAAATGCCATTTGAAGTGCTACTTTTTGACTATTCTGAGTGTTATTAAAACAGATAATGTTTAAAAAAACTTTAATGAAAGTAAATGTGGAAACTGAGTTTTCAGCTTGTATTGTTGTCCTACAGAAAATTGGAAATTGTTAATAGAAATATGCTACATTTTGTTATACAGTAAATTTTAAAATGTGTAATAAGTTCATTTCTGTGTTCTTTAGATATTAAATCCTACTCACTATAGACATAACTATGACTTTAAGTTGTAATTTTGGTGTACAGATAAACTGTTTGTTATAGTAGAGTTAAAACAGTTGCATTTTTTAGGACTGTAAAGGCACCAAGGACCTTTTCTTTATCTCGTACAACTATATTTGTGTCATGTATGTGTTGCCAGCAAACATGTATTCAAGATATTTATACCTGCTGTGAGAGTGGGTTAGCAGACTTGGAAGTTCAGTGTTTAGTGCTAATTTTAGATCTTTCTAGTAACTCTTGGTTAACAGACATCTCATCAGTTTCACTTTTATTGAATGAATTACAGGAACAGTGAGTATTTAACTTCCATCTTTAAGCTGCAATGTGGGTATAGTCAGTAGTAATTTTTTATTAATATATCAGGCTGATTGTATTAGAATAACTTGCCCAAACATATGTATATGAACCTTCTATCACACATGCTAGACGTACTAATTTCCTGTTACATTTAGATGATAGTATGATATACTGTAATGAGTTCCTTGTCTACAAAGCTTTTAAAGAGTTAGTAAAACTATTATCAAACTAGATTAACAAATGAAAAAAAGTTGAGTTATTTGTGATTAAAGGAGTTATAGGAAGGAAATTATTGCCCAAAGTTTTAATAAATTGTAAAACAGAAGCAACTATAATGTCATTATTAGTTCTTTATATTTTGTAATAAGTAGTTTGTCATGAAAGTATATCACTGGAAATATTTTGTAAAACAGCCATTTTGTTTAATATTCTTACATCTACAGTGCTCTAGCTATTTGATTAAAGTTTTAAGTTCTTAAAATACAAGCCTTTTCACATTATTTCTTGCTGAATTACCCAACTCTTGTACTAGCTTAAGATTTTTAAACATCATTAGTATTGAATTATATCAGTTTTTTATGTTCTCATTAACAGAGAAGAGAGATTTATTCAAATAATTATATGTGAAAGAAAATGTTAAAAATAAACTCATTTCTGTCAAGTTTATTATAGTATTATCTTGGAAACTTGAATAGGAAATGTAAAACGTGTGTGTGGTTATATTAAGTTTTATATATATACTTTATTAATATTAATAAGCAAGTTTACAGTAGCTGCATTGTACACCTAACATTATATTAGAAAAGAAGGCTTTTAAAGATTGAGATGTGAAATGTTTCTAGTAATATATATCAGTTTAGGATGTTTAACACTGTTCGCACACAGCTGTTGGGTTTTTTCAACATAATACTTTTTAAATTTATGGTATCACTGCTTATCTTAATTTTACTTTGTTAAACTACAAATCCAAGACTTAAAATTAATTTAAACTCTTGATTTTATTGAATTACATCCTTATTTATATTAAATATTAGTTTCTCCAGAATAAAAAAATATATAGTTTACCACAATATAATTACATTAAAGAACTTAGTTTACACATTATGAAACTAGTCCTTTGTGAATTCTCAACAGATTGACGTGTGTAGAAAACTTCATTTAATAGTTATTCTTAGGTGCACAATAGTCACCAAAATTAAAGCATATTTTCTTTGAGGAAAAAAAACTGGTCATTATTTCAACCCCTGTAGATTCTGCTATTCTGTGGTCTTTCTTCTGTTTACCATTGTATGTGTGTGTGAGCAAAATATGCCCATGTAGACATCAACATGTATGTTTTGTTTTGCATTATTGTTTTAATAAAGATCTTTTGTGTACATACATAAAGATTGAAATATATACCTTTAAAACAAAATTTCTACAGTGGTAGTTTTATGTTTGTGTTTATCTTAATTTGAATAGGAAAAAAAAAAGTCTTAATGTCAAGGTTTGTAAGAGAGTGAATACAAGATAACATGTAAGAAAGGGACTTTTGTTTTTCAGAATGAGCTTCCACTATCACTCTGTGCTGGTCATGCAAAGAAAAAACATAATCGAGAGACAGGAGATCCTAATGACTGGGGTTTTGTAGAGAATTCCAACTCTGCCGAGTCTTCTCCTCGTGGACTTCCAAAGATTCGCACATCTCAACAGTGTCCTCCCAGTGCTCCAAGGACAAGATTTACTCAACACAGTCTGAATTCCTTAGATGCTAGTAAGCTGAGAATGACCTTCAGTGACGTAGATGAGGTACTTGAGTCTTATTTAACTTTCTTGAGTTGAGTACTAGATGACAATCTCAGGGGTTGCGCAGAGCCATCATATTGAGTCTGGCTGCCTCACTTGAGGTAGAAGAGAGTTCCATTACAAATGTTACTAGTGACTTTCTGGCCTTTCACTGTCCTATTAATTTTCTATTTTTTGTTTTCTTGGCTAATCCATATGATACTTTGTTTTAAAGTAGTCTTATTCACTCTGAATGTTGATGAAGACTGTTCATGTTAACTTTATAGTGCAGAAGTGGTCTAAACCTGATAGTAGATTTATGCTGGATTGGATAAAGGGGTTTCTCTTGTCAGCTTCTTATTTTAGCTTTACTTCTTTATGGCTTGGCACATAAATTCCAGTTAATGGTCTTACCATGCAATTGCTTTCTGCCATTAAGCTGGAGATCAACCACTCTGAATTATGCACAGTATTGCTTGCAAGCCATTTCAAATATTATATTGGTAGCATTTCTGTTTGCAATTAATTACTTTTAACATTCCAGACAAGAGCTTCTAGTTCCATCATTGTGTTGTTTGTCAGACGAGAAGGGCTTCTAGTTTTATCATTGTGTTGTTTGTCAGATGAGAAGGGCTTCTAGTTTTATCATTGTGTTGTTTGTCAGATGAGAAGAGCTTCTAGTTTTATCATTGTGTTGTTTGTCAGATGAGAAGAGCTTCTAGTTCCATCATTGTGCTGTTTGTCAGATGAGAAGAGCTTCTAGTTTTATCATTGTGCTGTTTGTCAGATGAGAAGAGCTTCTAGTTTTATCATTGTGTTGTTTGTCAGATGAGAAGAGCTTCTAGTTTTATCATTGTTTTATCACAGATCCAATTGTGCCAGATGTTTATTCCACAAAAGAGGTATCTAAGATCTGGTGGTAACAAATTATCTTGGTGGTGGCTGTATAGCACCTGACTACCTATGTCTATCTCCTGAGGTACCTTTTAGACCATATCCTACATGGTTGTCTGTGGGGTTGTTATGAAGGTGAAATTTTCCTGTTGAAAAGGGACATTTGCTCAGTGATAAAATGTATGTTTGTTTTGCATCTCAAGACCTTAGTGAAGGTTCTGCTTGTAAGAACTGTTGGTGCTCTGCAGTACTGCTGAGGCTTATATGGTATAATAAGACTGCAAAATGTATCCCATGACCAGATGTTCGGTATCTTTTCAATATCATCTATTTGTATAGCACTTGTACTGATCATTGATAGTGAATAATCCAGGATAGAGCAGATAAGACTTTGGTATGGCATAAGCAGGTAATGATTTTCAGTTGCAGCTTTTAGTGAATTGATGTATTTGGGACTTTGTTAGTTCTATTTACCATAGTGTTAATGTGGCTGATGAAGTTGAGTTGCCTGTCAAAGTTTACCCTCCAGATACTTCACTGTTTATTTCAGAAGGAAGGTGATGGTTTGTCCTCATCAGAGTGCAGAATTTGGCTGTGTCCTTGGTAGGACTGGTGACTAGTCTTGTGTCATTGCAATGTACTTTTATTCCACTTTATTAAAGTACTTTGTTTATGTATAAGATTGTACAGTAATTAAAAATTTGTAGAATGATCTGAACACACAAGAAAAATTACATTTACTTATCATATTTTTCAAGTTGAAAGTCTATAAAAGTTCCCCCTCTTTCTTGGCAGTTTGCTGACTTTGTTTGCTTGGTCATTTTGTTAATGTTGTATGACGAGTTTGAATCCTGATCATAATTTTTATGTTTGTCAGCCAGAGTAGCTTTGTCTGTGTGATCCTATATGTTACTCTCCAAATCCTGTTGTCATCGTCAACCATGAATGTGTATTTTATGTAGCTACTTGTGTTTCAATGTTAACTTATACCAAACAAATGGTGTGAACATTTTGTTGAATATGAGTAAAACAATATTGAGAATATGAGTCTTGTATGTTGAAATCATATCTTGCTTGTTTATTTCTTTCCTTATGTCTGCCATGTTTGTGTCAGTCTTGTAATTCTTTATTATAAGTGTATAAATTCAACGTTCAGCTTCAAGGTATACTGTTAATTTTGATTTCCAAGATAGAATAAACTTGTGTTAGAAACAGGTTATTTTAGATAATGATGTAGTACCTAATATTTGTGTATAATGCCTGAGCTGGCAGATCATACCCTCTTTAAAAGGAAAATGTACATGTCACTGCAGTATGACTGATAACAATTTAATCATTTATTCTTTGTTGGCCAAATATATTAGCTTCCTGTAAGAAATTGTATGGGAAATAACTCTACGCTACCTCAATAATGTGTTGCAGAGCAGTTTCAGTTTAAACTTAGCTATTATCATAAAATCTTGTATCAATGATGAAACCTTAGTTTGATTCTTAACTATTATTGTAAAACATCAATCATTTATGAAACTTTAGTTTGATTCTTAGCTATTATTGTAAAATCTTAGATCACTCAAACCTTAGTGTGATTCTTAGCTGTTATTGTAAAATCTTAGATCCCTCAAACCTTAGTGTGATTCTTAGCTATTATTGTAAAATCTTAGATCTCTCAAACCTTAGTTTGATTCTTAGCTATTATTGTAAAATCTTAGATCACTCAAACCTTAGTTTGATTCTTAACTATTATTGTAAAATCTTAGATCCCTCAAACCTTAGTTTGATTCTTAGCTATTGTTGTAAAATCTTAGATCACTCAAACCTTAGTTTGATTCTTAGCTATTATTGTAAAATTTTAGATCCCTCAAACCTTAGTTTGATTCTTAGCTATTATTCAGTATTTTCTTTATAATCTTAGACATCCTCAGAGAGAGAAAGAAAAAACATGCAAAGAAGACAGAGAGAAACACAGTCTCAAGAAGACAGGCAGACTAGTGCCATGCAGACCACTCATGATAGTCACGGAGCAGTCAGCAATTCCAGGCTGTCTATTCAGAGTAATAAGCCTGCAAGTCATAAACAAGATAACACTAATAAAGTGGTGAGTGGTAAATTTTAAATCATGGTAGTAATAGGTTTGTGGGTCATGAAAATGTTCTACTCACAAATCAATGTGTAGAAAACTTAAATTTGTATATCATGAGATAAAATTAATTATACACAGAAAACAGCTGTGTCATCCACGTAAATAAATTTTTACAACAAGGCTAAAAATGTAATTGTTTTAATGCAATTCTTTGAAGACCAGTATTAAATCATTTTTTAAATTCCCAATATCAATTTTAAGTTTGCCTCTGTAGCTCTTTTCAGTGTGACATTTTTAAGTGTTGGAATTAGTTTGCTATAATTATGTTCACTCTACATGTTAGTGTACATGATTAGTGTTTTATTAGTCTTGTTTACATCACTTGGCTCATAATGCTACACTGGCTGTTGTTATTTAGTGTAAGCAAAGTGATATAGTATTGGCATTAATTACTTTCTCAGAGGGTAACTTTATTTATACATTTATTATCTTCTAATTACTCATCTATCTTAAACCATTAATTACAAGTCCTTTCTTAGAAACAATGTATGTTTTTGTACAACAGTTATAATATGAATGGGTTATTTGTAGGGTAGTGTATAACAACAACTACAAAAAGTAGTTTTGGTTGAGTTACTATTATGGATATTTCCTAGTTGAAAAATATAAAATAATATTTTCAAATCTGTAATTCTTTAAATTTAGCCTGATACTGGTGTTATTGTTGAACGTCTCATGCATCTTCGAGAATGTATAAAGCAAGTGACGTCCATTATGCAGAATTTAGAAAAATCAGATGAACCAGTGAGTATGTTACTATGATCATGTTTAATTACTTGCACTTACTAATGTATGAGAAATTGTAAATGTGACTTTAGCCTTTTCCTTTAATACTGTTTAATACCTAGCCACCAAGAATTTTAAGTATATTCTGAAAATGACTTAACCAATAAATACTTTTATAGGTTTTAATTTTATGTTGTGTACTTGATTACATCATTTTAATAACTTTTTGCTGATATTCTATTAAATGTATGTGTGTATGCATATGTAAAAAATTACTTGTTACCTGTTTCTAATTCACCATTTGCTGATGGGGTTTGTATGGTACCTTGAATTATATGTGTGAAGTATTCTGTATGATACATAGTGACATCAAATGATGTATCATAATGTTTAAAGTATTCTGTATTATACACTGAATTCAAACAAGGTATCGGGATACATAAAAGATTCTGTATGATACACAGTGACATCAAACGAGATATCAGGATACGTAAAAGATTCTGTATGATACACAGTGACATCAAACGAGATATCAGGATACGTAAAAGATTCTGTATGATACACAGTGACATCAAATGAGGTATCAGGATACGTAAAAGATTCTGTATGATACACAGTGACATCACACGAGGTATCAGGATATGTAAAAGATTCTGTATGATACACAGTGACATCAAACAAGATATCAGGATTTGTAAAAGATTCTGTATGATACTGAGAGTCATCAAACGAGATATCAGGATACATAAATGATTCTGTATGATACACAGTGACATCACGCGAGGTATCGGGATAAGTAAAAGATTCTGTATGATACTGAGCGTCATCAAACGAGATATCAGGATACATAAATGATTCTGTATGATACACAGTGACATCACGCGAGGTATCGGGATATATAAAAGATTCTGTATGATACACAGTGACATCACACGAGGTATCAGGATACATAAAAGATTTTGTATGATACTGAGCATCATCAAACTAGGTATCTTGAAGTTTCAGAGATTCTGTAATGACATCAAGCAAGGTATCATGATGTGTAGAATATGGATTATATGTAGAGACATCAAAGTATTACGATGTATTACAGTTCACGAGGAAAGATATTGAGAAGTAAATCTGTTATTATTCTCCAAATTAAGCTTAAAAATTGTGAAAGCAATTTGTGATATTTTAATTGTTTGGAGCATCTGAAATTAAAGATCTTTATTATTTAATATCAGGTCACCAGAGAGCAGATGTTTAAATTGGAAGACATGCTAGATCAGTTAAGGCAAGATGAACAAGAACACTTGGAACTCTTGCAACAAGTCTTAGTAAGTAATACATTGAATTAGCTTAGCAAGATGTAATGTAAAGTATTACATTTTTTGGTAAAACAAGACTTGTTTGAATATAGTTTTCAAGCTATGGAAACCTATAGCTTGTTTAGTATTAACCCTTTTGCAGTGGGCTCATGTAATTTGTGGAAATTGAGTTGTGAATTTCACTTTTACAACAATACATGCTGTAACTCTGAGATTTCTTAATGTATAGTGGTTTATACTACAGTATAGCTTGATGGTCAGCTGTTTATACTACAGTATAGCTTGATGGTCAGCTGTTTATACTACAGTATAGCTTGATGGTCAGCTGTTTATACTACAGTATAGCTTAATGTTTATATTGGTATAGTTTAAGTGGTGTTTATATTATATGTACTTAAGATTCAATAACCATGGTCTAACAGTTAATTATTACATTTCTACAGATTAAAGAGAGTGGTATGTTTGTACTTCCCAATGTTGGTTAAGAGCAGGAACCTGTGGTTATTGACAAACCGAGTAGTTTGATTAATGAAGTGGCAATGACACTAACGTACACTTCCCTCTCTTCTCCTTTCTTGTTTTAACGTTAAAGATAACAATTTATTGTAGTTTCAGTGTTATACTTTTTAACTATAGTCTTTGACTTATGAATGAAATTTAGTAAATCCAGTTGATGGACCTATTGTGGATAGATTAAGATAGACCATGGAGGCTCTCAATATTATCCATTATTATAAGTTAAATATATGTTATGGATACATTTGTGCAGGACTAATAGCCAGTGTTTGTTTAACAGGCTGCTAGGGAAGATACTAATACTTCTGAAACACAATCTACACCCAGCTTTGCCAATACTGCAAGTCCAAATGTAACTGCAAAGAAAGAGAAAGCTGTCGCAGAGGTCAGTGTAGTGAATATTTTGACAAAACTGTTTAAAGTTTAATAATTCTCAATAAGCTTGTCCTGGGTGAAAGAAGTGAAATTCAGAAAGTACTTTCCCATTCATGATTTTGGCTGTCTCACTGAAGTCAACAAATACAATTTTTATAAATTGAATAACTTGTACATTAATTGTGTTATTACATGTAAATGTAAACAAAAATGTGATTTATTATTGATCAAAAAGTTATATTTTGTATCTCCAACCAATTGTAACCTTTTTGCACTTATTAACATTTATCATTTTGATTTTATTTTGGTACATTTTTTTAATGATGCAGTTACATAAACAAATCAGAAATACAAATATTGCACAATTGGTTATGATTTATCACGAAACATGATTGCAGATGTTACTATAGGCTAAGTATTGTTACCCGACTTCACTCGATCAAAAACTCTCAAATCTCACAAGATGGTTAATGATTTACCATCAAACATGCTTTACAGTGTACTTTAAGCTATTGTAACTAGTAATAGAAGTGATATCTTTGTTTAAATGTATTTTCTTCTTACTCAAATGTATCCTTTAATTAATAACTGTTGGGAAGCTTTAACACTGTGCAGATAATCTTCATTAACTAAAATTGTTGGTTATTTTTAACTCTGTATATAGCATTATGTAGTAGTATTTATAAGTGTTTATATTCAAGTTATTAATCTTCTTACTATAACGGACATGGTGTGTGTATATATGTATTTATATATGTATGTGACTGAAATAATAAATACAATGTGGCGCCATCTATTAAATGGCACCACAAACAAAATTCCATAAAAAAAATTTCACACTTTGGGTATTCAAGATTCAGACAATTATAAAAATAACTGGTATGTCCAACAACCATTTTTTTATAATAGAACACAATTTTAAATAAAAGTACTCTTCTCACAACAAGAACATGATATTCACTAGGACTGTTCTCGAGGGTTTGATTATGTAATTTATAAATATAGTAAAAAAAGCTATTTTTTGAATAAAGGGTACCACTTTATATATAAAAACATTACAGTTTATTTCAGCACAATCTGAACACTTTTCCCAGGCTGTACTTCCCAAAAAAATCCAGTTTTAGAACATGTTCACTTTTTCTAAATTTTTTTCAATGTGGTTTGAATGCTATGATTGGTAATTAATAGCACAAATAGCCACCCGACGTACTGCATTTCTAATAGTGTTCTTAATCTGTAAAACTTGAAGTACTTATGTATGATGAATATGGGTGAATTAAAGAATTTGTATTTGAAACTTGAGTTGTTCATTTGATGATTGTTTTTAGGCTGAAGCTAGTCCTGTAGATAAACGAAATCAGCTGTTAAAGAAAATGATTGATTCTCAAGAAAAGGTAAGTTTTAGATCCTGTTCTAGATTTGGGTGTAAAGATGTTGTGTAAAATATATCTTAGAGTATTTGCTGTTGTTTGTTATAAAATTTTTATAGAACACTGTGTATGTATATATATATATATATATATATGGAAGCTAGTAAAGTTATTGTTCAACTGTAGTTAGTGATGTGTGATAAGTATAAATATTAGTATCATAATAATGTGGCTGTTGGGCGTTTTTTGTTTAAAGTTGGCTGCTCTGAAAGAACAACAAGAAATGCTGATGTTTCTTCAGAAGAAAGCTGAATACAAATTGGCTGAAGCACATATTTATCATGGTATGTTTACAGAAAATATTACTGTTTAATGGTAAACATTTGTAATTTCACTTTAACAGATTTTAGAGAGCATTTGTATTTAACCCTATCGACCCGGGTACCCTTTACTGCACATGACACAAGGTTTTAGTGTCTTACATTCAAAATTTTATTACACTACATTTTGTTTATGTTATACCAGTTAGCTAATAATCTATATTTTAATAGTATACAAGTTTTAAGTTCTTAATTCTACAAGGCAATATTTAAAAAATCTGGAATTTCCACTAGTGTGACCCACGTGACACATTTTGTCTTACCATGTCATCATCCCTATTTTATCCATCAACCCTCAAAAATGTACAAAATTAAAGGTAAAATACTCTCTATAAAATAATTTTTGCTCAAAAAGACCATAATGTTTATAGCCTTCAATTTTTTTGCTTACAGAGCTACCGATTAGAAAATCAGACCGTTTCTGCCACACCCACCTGTCACATTCTCTCTCTCACAATTCGTTGATAGTTCTCTTACGTTTCATTATATATTACCTGTAACCAATAGAAAGTCAAGGTTTTCATCTATCAAATAACGTATTATATTACATTGTGTTCTGAACAGATAATTGTCATTTTCACTTGTAGTATAAGATTCGCTCCCAGGAGAAAGTTAACAACTAGCTTGTATGAAGTTGTAACGGCTCTTGTTGCATAGTTAGAAAGCCAGGAATATTTTGAGATGTAAGTGAATTTGTGTATTTTTTGTTATTAGTCTATATTCTTTGGTGCACTATTTGATTAAATAAAAAATTATTAAATGCATTATTATCTATAGTATAAAAAATTAGGGTTAACTCTTCGAAACCTGACAGCAAAAAAAAGAAGTTTGAGTAAGTACTTTATTTCTTGTTTTTCATGTTTATTCTTTATTTATTATTATAAAACTACCCAAAACCTAAAAATATGGATCTTTTTTTAAGGTATTTAAAACTAGATTAGGTAAAATAAATAATAATAATATAATTAAAATGATTCATGAGAAATGCATTCGTGCAGCTCGTAGTAGCTCGTGGATAATATAATTTGATAGCGTAATGGGAACTGCATGTTCCCCAAGTGATTTACAACTTATAATGGTGCAGATGGTAGTTAGACACAGTTCAAAGAGCAATAAAAAGGCAATGAAACAATAAAATTTAATTATGAATAGATGTACTTAGAGCTACTTGGGATAAGCAAATTTAGTTTCATGCTACAATTTCAAGTCATTCTAGAAAGAAAAAAAGGGTAATTTAGGTTTATTTTGATTTTTTTTTTGGTGGTTTGGTGGTCGTTCGAATTGACTGATCCGATTTTGAGATAGGGTAGGGAAAATAACAGATAAACTATAAAGTTTTACTGAAAAAAAACGTTTGAAATACAT